ACACCAATTAATCATCTCACTAATACACAGACTAAGATTGGCCCCTAGCAAGGCATCATGGCCACCCGATAGATTTGAATTCAGCAAAGTAGCTACCTGTCAACGATATGGTAACCGTACAATTCGATCCTTTCATCATACATTATCTCAACGAGATGAAGGCATAGAAATAGTGTCAACCTTTGGTTACTCTCGATATTATGTATTCAGATTCTAGACCAATGACCTGTATTATAAACTGGATAGAGCAACAACTCAATCCCACTGTGGCCATAGTTTTAGTGTCATTGCCATATACTGAATTATGCTGTGAGATAACTTCTCCCGTACCCGGGAGTGATGAATCCTCTGTCTATCCACCATAGTCTTGATACACTCCTTGATGCAGCCAATCACCACCATATTGACAGCTCTGAATAGAACTATGTTAGGCTAGTGTCAAACTGCACCAATCGGTGCACAAGGCGCTCCGGTGATCTCAAATTTAAGGATCACATGCACTGTAATACACTGTATAGCTAGTAATTCTTTGAAAAATATATGATGAAATCCACTAAATAACTTTTATAAACATATATACATAACCCTAAACCCTAAATACACAAAATACTGATATACATTAGCAAGCACAAGGTAATCTTGAACAGTGCCACCAAACTCCCGCCACTTCTTGACGTCCCACCCGATTGCAAATCATCTAGTACCTGCAAAACAGTAAAATAACAGAGTGAGCACTAATTGCTCAATAAGTAAACCAAACTGCATGACTGTTCTTCCTCCGTTACTCGTGTTCTGATTTTCCTTTTCTCACTTTATTCTTTGCTAATATTATTCATTCCTTTTTGTTATTCTGCATTCTTTTTTGATATTCTGCATTCTTTTCTGATACTTTGATTTGCTACTTACCAATGTGCAAAGACAATGAATAAAACTGTACATCGTCGAGCACATAAAAATACTGAATCATGTAAGTAGCATAATACATATGCAGAATAACAAAACTTTCCTAAGAAAAGAACTTTCTTTTCTTTTTTGTTTCTGTTTCTGTTTCTCTTATGTTGTATCTCTTTCTTTTCTTTTCTGTTTCTGTTTCTTTTCTTTCTTCTTTCTAGTTTGCCAATCGGACTAGGTTGATGCATGGATTTGGAACCCTGACCATGTGAGTGGGTACAGTCCTCATCTACATGCACTACTCATGGGCTGTACAAGTACTGTATCTCTCTGATGTGGCCACTCGCTCGTGGCGGTGTGCATGTAGGTATACTCTACTGGGTACAGTCCTCATCCACATACACTACTCACGGACTATACAAATACTATATCTCTCTGCTGATGCCGCTCGCTCGTGGCGGCGTGTATGTGGGCATCTCTATCACTCACAGGTTCCCTATCGCAAAAACCTTATATCATAGTATAGAATAGAAAGAGATACTATGCACATTTCAACATGAATTTGCAAGCTATGGAAATTCTACACTTGCATTCTTTAAAAAACATAAACTTCCGTATATGAACATATCATTTCATCATGACCATTTTGTGGATGCATAATAAATTCATAGAAATATATCATTGATAATCCGAGGATTATAGTAGTTTATTTAAGCTTTTAGGCCGAATTTTAGATACTTCTTAGTCTATTTTTGCTTGAATTGATACTTAATTCCTTACATTTCGTGTTTCAGGTTAAAAATGGAAATTTTGAGCGAATAAAGGTAGATTTGGAGTTTTTGGACTCAGAAGCATGCGAAGGGCAATTCTGGAATTTCAGAATTCTTTAGTAAACTTCGCCGCGGTGAAATGGGCCAGTGACACATTAGATTCAGCTCCTATATCGCCGTGGCGAGATTCCTTCTTCGTCGCGGCGAAGTCTGCATACTCCACTTTTTGTAAAACGCACAGTTTCTTGTTTAGGCTAAGTTGTATTATTTTGGGCGAGGTATAAAAGAAAGACTTAGTCTTTTTGTTTAGGGCGTTCGTGGAGAGATAGAGTTTTTACATTATTTTAGATTCATTTTTGAGGATTTTTGGATTAACAAAGTTGGAAGATTCGAGGAAACCAGTGGATTCATCAATTTGGGGAGATTCTTTTCCTTTTCTTTTTTTTCCATTATGTTGAACCTAGAGTTTTTCATTTCTTTTAATTGTTTTATTGATTTAGCCATGAACTAACCTATTTTGGGTTAGGGTTTTGATGTAGTTCGGATTCTAATGGGTTAGAAAGTTGATGATTATTAATTTCATATGATTTTGCTTTGATTGTGTGATTATTCTGTATTTATTGTTTGTATGTGATGAACATGATGAGATTGAGAGATAATTCATGTTAAGCTTCGTGGGTAATCACCGTTGTATTATTGGATGCTAGAGATAGATTCAAGAACCGATGAAATCAATCTAGGATTCTTGTGCTTAATGAACTTAGATTTATTAACTTTCATTTTGTTGGGTGCGGAAGGTTAATAGGAAAGAGTAGGACAACATAGCCTGAGAAGGTATGTTGGACACTTTAGAGAGTTCGATTTACAATCAATGCATGAGAATATGAATTTAGTTTAATTCTCCAAGTTTAACCCATAGAGTCCGAATGAAGTCTCTTTCATGCAAGGCAACGATGAATCGCTTTATGAAGCTCGGGAGAGGTACACAGAGTTGTTAAGGAAATGTGCACATCATGGTCTACCGTTTTGGATACAAGTCCAAACATTTTACAATGAGTTGCTACCAAGTATTCAATCTATGATAGATGTGGCAACAGGTGGAGCCTTAAATAACAAGACCCTAGAAAATGCTTATGAATTGCTTGAGGTGATGGCCAACAATAACTACCAAAGACCTAATGAGAAAGCAATGCCAAAGAGAACAATGGGTCTACATGAAGTCGATGAGTTCGCCACATTATCTGCACAAATTGCATCACTTCAAAGCCAATTGGGAGGTGTGAATGTAAATTCTATTCACTCACCTTTTATAACTTGTGAATTTTGTGCAGGAAACCATGGGAGTGTGGAATGCCAAGATGGAAGCCAATTAGTCTTCTCAGCAACCGAGCAAGTGAATTACATGGTTGGTTCACAAAGGCTGCAAAATGACTCCTTCTCCAACATACACAATCCTGGTTGGGGGAATCACCCAAATTTGTCCTGGAGCAATCAGTTAAATCAAAGGACAGTGCCAAACCATCAACCAGTGGTGAATCTTCAACCGGTAGAGCTAAGAGTGTCAAAATTGGAAGATATGTTGATAATCCGAGGATTATGCTAGTTTATTTAAGCTTTTAGGCCGGATTTTAGATACTTGTTAGTCTATTTTGTCCCGAATTGCTACTTAATTCCTTACATTTCGTGTTTCAGGTTAAAATGGAAATCTTGAGCGAATAAAGGCAGATTTGGAGTTTTTGGACTCAGAAGCACACGGAGGGCAGTTATGGAATTCTTCAGGAAGCTTCGCCGCGGCGAAATGGGCCAGTGACNAGAGAAAATGGGGTATAGGTGGTGTTAACAAGGGCTGAAGTATGTTAGGGTTTCTTCAAATAAAGCCTTATATCAAATAATATATGCATGTATTCCCATTTTGCCCTTGCACTTTTGCTAAAATTCCATCTATGTCCCTTAGTCAATTACCATAATGCCCTCAGTTTTATTGCATTCTCCATGAAATTCTATCTCTTTTCACTCCCCACAATTTCAACTAATTTTGAGTGAAAATACCATTTTACCCTTAATGAACTTTTAAGGAATTTTCTTTACATTTGTCTAAGGTAACTTCAAAGAAATCCAACAAAGGGTAATAGAGCATAAGTAAAATTACGTACCTTGATGTGGGTGCTACATGCACCACCATTCGTTAGAGGATTTGTTCCATAGACACTAGGATTACCATCCATATGGAATCCTCTGGTGGGTTAGTCCAGTGAACTTCCTGCGGTGTATTCGCCTATAGCAAGCACCCACGTGTCGCACCCGGTTATCACCAAACAACCTTGACAAGCGAGATCAGTCATTGCCTTTCGACAGGGTCATTCAACACTGTGATAGCCTTACCGTATTATCTGTGCCCTTACTTCAAAATAATACTAGGGTTATGGACGTTTCTAGAATGACCACTATATGTGCTCATAAGGTTCTCCCTATCAAGATTTGAAACACTTGATACCCTCGTCACGGTTCTACCATTCTAAGGACATATATCAATACATATTGCAATAATAATTATTTATGCGATATAGAATAAAATGCCTTTTATTATTGATTCATGAACATTATTACCAAGAGTCAATCCTACAATAATTGATTGGCTCTAGGGCATCTACCCCAACCATCTCCCACTTGCACTATAGCTAATCATTCATGCACTCAACATTGAATGACCCAAGTGCCCATAATGCTTTGCTACAACAGAAACTTTAATAGTGGGTTAGTAGGTTTGAATCAACTAAGTAAGTGTTTGGATTATTGGTGAGACCATGATTCCTCAGCCACAACAATGGCTCCATTGTTATCGCAGTACAACTATATTGGATTAGCAATGCTTGGAATCATGTCAAGTTCAGTAATGAACTTCTTGATCCAAATCGCCTACACGGCAGCATTAAAATGAGATACACTTAGCATCAATTGTAGAATTCGCTGCAGTACATTGATTTGAGCTCTTCCAGCTCACTACAGTACATTGATTTGAGCTCTTCTAGCTCACTACAGTTACATTGAGACAAAATTGTGTAATCCCAAATTACGAACTATAACCATCTTTTTGTTAGAGTAGATGCCCTAGAGCCAATCAACTATTGTAAAATTGACTCTTTGTAATAATGTTCATTAATCAATAAAAGGCATTTTATTCTATATCGCGTAAATCATTATTATTGCAATATGTATTGATATATGTCCTTAGAATGGTAGAACCGTGATGAGGGTATCAAGTGTTTCAAATCTTGACAGTGAGAACCCTATGAGCATATATGGTGGCCATTCTAGAAACGTTCGTAGCNAACCCAAAACCTTCCAGTAAACCGTGCATCCCGATCACTAACCAAGTCTACTGGTACTCCGAAATACTTCACCATATTTTTATAAAACAAAGCAGCAGCTGTCTCCGCTGAACAAGCTTCTAGTGCTGCTATAAAAATTGCATATTTCGAAAATCTATCCACAACAACAAGGACAGAAGACATACCTTCTACCTTTTGGAACCCACCAATGAAGTCAAGAGAGGCTGACACCCAAGGCCTCTCCGGAATTGGTATAGGTTGCAACAAACTTGCTACCTTTCTCCTTTCTGTCTTGTCTAGTTGACACACCAAACAAGTTTTCACATAGGACTCAATATCAGCTTCCATTCTAGGCCAATAATAATCCCGTGTCAACAATGCCAAAGTTCTCTCCCTACCAGGATGTCCAGCCTAAGGTGAATCGTGGACTTCTTTCAGCAATACCCGTCTTAATCCACCCTTACTTGGAACAAATAGCCTATCTCCTTTGGCATACAATAACCCATCCTCTAACCAGTAACGCCGTATAGTACCATTCTGAACTAGTGTCACCAAGTCCTTATACTCAGCATCCTGTTCGGCTGCCCCTCGCAACCTGTCTAACATGTCAGATTCAACCCGAGTTATTGCATATAGAGCAGCAACAACCTGTTTTCTGCTCAACGCATCAGCAACCTGATTGTGCCTTCCTGGCTTGTGTTGCCATGCAAAATCGTACTCAGCCAAAAGCTCTTGCCACTGGGCCTGTTTTGGGGACAACTTCTTCTGTGTTTTGAAGAAGGTGTTGGCGACATTGTCTGTCAACACGACAAATTTTGTGCCTAGCAAGTAAACTCTCCACACCTGCAAACAATGAACAACAACCACCATCTCTTTCTCATGTGCAGAATACCTCTGCTCTTCCCCATTCAACTTTCGGCTTTCAAACGCAATGGGATGTCCCTCCTGGACCAGCACCCCACCGATAGCTTTCTCCGAAGCATCTGTATGTACTTCGAACGGTAACTCAAAACTTGGCAATCTCAACACCGGTTCAGAGGCAATGGCTTCCTTCAACCTTTCGAAAGCCTTTGAACATGATTCTGTCTAGCCATTGAAAAACACAAAAGCTGCAACGTTTGATTTGTATTAAGTATTGTTTTCAAAAACAGTACATCAGAATATACTGGTTGGTTCACTAGTTTCCCACCCTAGTTTTTGCGAAGGAACCTTTCCATCTCTTGATTGCCTAAACTAAATTTCTCAACCAAATAGTAAAAAAACTACAAAAGGTCACCCAACGTTAGTCCTATCCATGAAAAACTATATGCCTCATTGTGGTTAGGTCAAGGGCCTATTTTTCGCCTCTAGGCACTGTGCGCACAAGCACACCAAGCACTTGCAAGCTACCTCCAGTTGTGCGTTTCCTGTTACAAATCACAAACAACATACAACAGAGGCTAAAGAGAGTCAATGCACAACATATACGGGAGAAATTCCCAAACTATTATATATCCGAATACAAGGACAACTCAAGCACATACACACGCGTTTCCCATGTTTACAATTGATCCTCCCTCACAGATTTGCACTCAAGTTACAACAAGGCTTACAAACACAACCCTTGCCCTCTCACTCTCTATACACGAATGTGATATCTGCCAGCCTTATATACAAATAGCACAGCAAATACATTACAGTTTTACATTTATCAGCAGTTACATGATAGTTGCATACTCAAATGAACCTGGACACATCTAACTGCTCAACAGCCTTGGCCCAGCAACCATGCAGCCTTGTCTGGTTGTTTCCCTCAACTCGTGCACACTCCCATGCACTCACGCATGCAACTTCTGTCTCATGCATGAACTCAGCCACCTGTTAGTTGTCTTGCATGCTTGCACACGTCCCAGCGTGTGCCACGTCTAGCCTGCTCATGAGCACACACGCCCATGTTAAAACATGCCCACCGCACATGTACAACTTGCAAGTGCCCACCCGCAAGCCATTTCATCAGTAAAGTGTTTGGCGCCCCAACACTCAAACACCCGCACCTGATCTCAGCCATCCTTGTTCAGCACACACCCGTGTGTGTCTTGGCGAGGCTGTGACTAAGGATGAAAGCCAACGCCTGCCCTTGCCCTTTGTACGGGTCTTACAAACCACCCCCACCAGAGAGTCCGACGTCCTCGTCGGAATGGTGGAAATGTACTCCTGCACAACAATCCCAAACTGCCACAAATCTATGTCCCTTTCCGAAACTCGCTGTCTTTCCCCCTTCACTTCACCAAATATTCAATTCGCGATTCTTTATGCTGCCCATCCTCCTGTGATCTAAAATTTCTCAATTTCATCATCAAACTGTTTCCTAATCATTGGAGGAGCTCTCTTAGCTTGGGTTCTTGAAGAATCACCCTATCTGAGGAAAGGTTTCAAGAAGCCACATGGAATGTGGGATGTACCTTGATCCGCTCAGGCAATTTCAACTTGTAAGCAACAACATCCACATCTACTACAACTTCAAACGGTCTCATACTTTGGAACCAATGCCCTATGTACCCGTTGCTTTCGATTTTCTTCCAAATCTGAGGAGTGAGCTTGAGTAGTACCTGGTACCACCTCAAACTCAACGGCTCTCTTAGCATCAGCATACTTTTTCATCCTCTTGGGCCTTCCGCAAAATCTTTGAGCCTGGTCAATTATATCTTGTCTGTCCCTAGCACCTTGTCAACAGCAGGAAATTTCCCCTTTGCTGGCTGTCTAGCAATCTCAATTGGGGTCAAAGGTTGTTGCCCCAACACTAACTCAGAGGACTCCGCTCGGTCGAAGATGACTTATGCAAATTGTAGCAAAACTGTGCAGAATCCGCAATTTCAGCCAATTTCGTTGACTGTTGTCACATAATGCCGAAATACTCCTCTCCAGCAATGCATCACCCGTTCAGTCTGACCATTGTTTGTGGATGATAGCTGTAGAAAACTTAATCGGTCCCCATCATATGAATAGAGTATTCTTGAGATGAAGTCACTGTTTCCTCAATTAATAGCCTAATATCTGGTTATTTAAGGAAAAAATATACCCAGTGTACAGGCTGTGTGGTGGGTTGGGATTTCTAATCCATGACTTGCCCTTCAAAAGTGAGCGGTCAACTAAAGGTTTAAAATAATAAGAAAAGGAAATTGACAGAGCATAACTATAGAGAGCAGGAAGGAAAAAAAATGAGAGAAGGGATAATACAGAAACTTATGCAATTAAATCTTATATTTTAAAATGCATCATTCTGCTGTCTGCAGTGTCGTTCAGGTTAGTTTGTACAAAATAATAGTATGGCTTAGGTTTTCCACGTAAATGAAAAAGCACAGGATATCACCTGTAGAGCCTTCTGCATAAAATGTCTGTAAATCCCGAAAGCAGTATTTTCTTATGCTGGTAATTGGATTGATTATCTTTGTGGAACTTTGATGCGTTAGCTCCGAGTCTTGAAAATAAATAATTTATCCACTCATGTTTAAGGCCTTTGATGGCTGTTCATTTATATCTTGCATTACATCTCACAAATTAATTCCTGTGTTTTTATTTAATTCAGTACATTGATTTATGAAGGTTTCAGTTTTAAATTCTGCCTTGTTAGTATCATTCTTTTTCTCACACTTCTGATTTTATAGTGTTATTATATTCTTTTAATTTCTAGTTCTTGTCTGATACGAGAATGTTTCTTGAGTCATTGAGATTGATGTTTTAATATTCTGGTTTTCAGATATCTGGTCTTGGCGTTAGTGTTCAAGTGGTTAAAAATAAATTGGCACCGGCAATGAAGAAATCTGACTTGATGATAGAGTTTGGGAAAGGCTTCCGTTGTGAACCCGAGGTTTTGGAATTGGCTTGTGAACATGGAGTCATTGTAGAAGAAGGAAATAACTACATGATAGAAGGGGAAGTTTTCGGTGATAGATATTCAGCTGAACGACATTTGATTGAAAATGAAGAGGTTCTTGATAACATAATTACAAATTTAAGGAAACATTTGTTTGAAAGGAAACGATTGTTATGACAGATCCTTGATTAGATGAGCTTATCTCAAATATGATAATGGAGAACAGAATACAGGTCCATTCAAATAGAAGAGGACTGTGAAGTGGTTGCAGAATCGCAGTAATGGGGAGCCAACCCACTTCAGGAAACTTGATTGTTTGTTCATGGTGAGTGGAATTCAGCAGTGATATTAATTAACCATGTCTTCAAGCAAACAAAGTTGCTGATTCTGTTTGCCGGATTGCTGCGCATTTAAACACTTAGATGCTATTAGATTTCTGGAGAGTTGAACTAGTTCTTCATCTATATCCAATGGGCACTGCTTTTCTTCCTTCGGCTTGAATTGTCCTCGCGGCTGTGTTATTGGAAGGTTTACGAGGAAACTAGTATTTATTTAGACACTGTAAAAAATTGTTGTAATACAGAAACATTACTCAAATTTTGCAATTCAAAATCCGGGAGGCAGGCTTGTGTTGAATGCCCATTTCATTTTTCTAAAACATCTTGAAAGGAAAGGTGACGTGGTCAAATGTTACTTGAATGCTTGGTTAAAGGGAAGGAAATGGTAATATTTAAAATCACGTCACTAAGGTCATCCACTTTTGATCTAAAAAAAAGGGGTCTTATTTTTTCTAAAATTATTGTAAAGATCCTTTTTGAAACAAATCTGTTATTTATTTGATACATAAAAAATAAATTGAAATGTCTTTCATGCTCACAATCTGTCTAAAGCTGATGTTAGTTTATAATTGTACATGGTCACAAAACAGGCTCGTTTCCATTCCACACGCAGCCATACTGCTTGAAAAAATCACAAAAGCTGCAACGTTTTGATTTGTATTAAGTATTGTTTTCAACAACAGTACATCAGAATATATCTGTTTGGTTCACTAGTTTCCCACCCTAGTTTTTGCGAAGGAACCCTTTCCCATCTCTTGATTGCCTAAACTAAATTTCTCACCCAAATTTAGTAAAAAAACTACAAAAGGTCACCCAACGTTAGTCTCTATCCATGAAAAAACTATATGCCTCATTGTGGTTAGTGTCACAGGGCCTATTTTTCGCCTCTAGGCACTGTGCTGCACAAGCACACCAAGCACTTGCAAGCCTACCTCCAGTTGTGCGTTTCCCCTGTTACAAATCACAAACAACATACAACAGAGGCTAAAGAGAGTCAATGCACAACATATACGGGAAATTCCCAACCTTATATTATATATCCGAATACAAGGACAACTCAAGCACATACACACAGCGTTTTCCCATTGTTTACAATCTGATCCTCCCTCACAGATTTGCACTCAAGTTACAACAAGACTTATAAACACATAACCCTT